CTGTAGAAATTTGACATGTGAATAAGGTACTTATTATTTCCAATTATCAATCTTGTTTAAAAATAAACTTTATTTTTTTAGAACTGTTTTAGATTTACAGAAAAATTATAAAGAATATAGGGAGTTCCTGTTTAACCTCACATCCAGTTTCCCCTATTATTAACATATTACATTAGTATACGTGTTACATTTTTTACCGTTAATGAATCAATTTTGATCATTCTATTATTATTCATTCTGAAGTTACTCGAGTTTTTTTTTAAGGTGAAATTGCCTACAGATTTTTAATAGTAGGTCTTTAGAAAATACTGGATTGATATATCATCAAGAAAGACTTTTTCTTTAATCAGCTTTATTGAGGTAAAAATTTACATGCAATAAATTAACCATATTATGTATATAGTTCAGTAAATTTTTATAAAAGTACATAGTCAAATAACCATCACCACAACCAACGTATAGAACATTTTCATCATCCCAAAATAATTCCTTTATGCTCCTTTCCTTTTAATCCTTTTCCCCGACTCCAACCCCTGGCAACCACTGATCTGTTTTGTCGCTGTAGATTTCCCCTTTCTGGAATCATTCTAGTAGAATGTCATATAAATGGAATCATGTATGTAATTTTTGTATCTGATTTCTTTCAGTTAGCACAATGCTTTTGAGATGTGTTGTACATGTATAGGAACTGTTTATTCCTTTTTATTGCTGAGAGTATTCCATTATGTATATATAGTGCACTTTGTATCCATTCACCAATCCATAGATGTTTGTCTTGTCTCCATTTTTTGGCTATTATGAATAAAGATGTTATGAACATTTGTGTACATGTCTTTGTGGGGACATATATTTTCATTTCTCCTGAATAATTAGAAATTATATGCCAGATTATATGGTAAGTGTATATTTAACTTTATTTTTTTTTTTAAAAACTGGCAAACTATTCCAAAGTAGCTGTATTCTTTTGCATTCCTACCAGCAATATATGAGGATTCCAATTGCTCCACATGCTCACCGGCAATTAGTATTATCAATCTTTTTAATTTTAGCCATTCTAGTGTATGTGTTATAGTACATCATTGGAGTTTTAATTAGCATTTCCCTAATGACTAATAATATTGAGCATCTTTTTATGTGCTTGTTTGCCATTCCTGTATCTTTTTTGGTGAAATACTTGTTCAAATTTTTTTGCCATTTTTTTTTTGTGTTGCTTATCTTATTAAGTTGTAGGAGTTATTTATATAAAGATGTACTTTTAAATTTCTTGACCAAAGCAGCATGTTTTGGAGTTTACGCTCAATGTATAAGTGAACATAATGAAATGCTCTTGAGTACTAGCTAAGAATGTAACTGGAAAATAAATGCTGTTTTGCATGTCTAAGTACCTAAAGAATAGATCTAGTAGAAATATAAAGTATTTTATGTGCCATTCCCTTTGCCCAAATGAATGAACCCATTTTTTAAAATTTGTTCTAGTGAATGAATGCTGAATATTTCATTTGTTTGTTTGTTTGTTTGTTTGTTTAAACTTTTGAAGTGATACCTGTTGGTTAGTGTTCAGATACTATTAGAACCCCTCTTATGGCCATATTTCACGCGTTTATTTTAATCGTACATATCTGTTCCAAATAGTATGTCCTGTCTGCCTCATACACTCTGTGGGGACTGACCAATTGCCAGATAAACTTTTAGAGACATCAAAGACCCATTAGAAAGCTAAGCAAAATAAATATTGGCTCATGGTCACATGAGATTCAAATATCACTTTTATTGTAAAGGAAGAAGTGTGACTTATTTTACATTATGATTGGTTAAACTCAGTGACATTTTTATGTGTATGTGTATACTCCTTTGGCCAAATAAAGTACTTGAGTAAAATTAGAATACTGCCATTAATTACTAGACTAATGTGGTACATTTACTGTCATCTCTTTTGACAGACTGTAGGAGATCACATTTCAGTTATAACTCCTTTAATAAAAATATCGATATTTTTCACTCTAAGAAATCTACACACATGCCAGCACACACGCACACACACCCTCGCAGCTGTGGATTATGTTCTTTTCCATTACTTGATCTTCGGTTTTAAACGGTGGGAGCAACCTGCCCTAAGCTTACTATTTCAAAAAGAGAAATGAGTTCCAAAAAGAATAGAAGTGGAATTGCAATTAAAACCCATTTTCTTAGGAGATTATGATGTCTCACTGAATTGTAATCTATGCCATTTGGGTCATTTGTATCTCAATAAGGGTGACCTAAAGTTTCTGAGGGGGGCAGTTTTGTCCTACATATGAACCATTTTTTCATTTTCTGAAGCAGACTATTCTTAAGCTTGTTCAGGACAAATTATGTGAACAACTACATAGTATTATGTGTGAGTGTGGTATATGTTCTTAAATAGTTTTATCATTCAAAAAAAGAGTCCCTCTTTTGGCCCCATTCCATAGAAGAATGGGAAGTATTTAAAAGATGTAGGAGGAAGAGAGATGGTGCAATTTGTAGGAAAGAAATTCAGGTCAGATTAAATTTTTTTTTTTTATAACCCCGCACCTTAGCATTCTTGGATTCAAATTCTTAGATTATGTTGTTGTTTCATTCCCCTCTTCCAGAGAGATAATATTTAACTCACAGGGAATTTTGTTTTTAAGAGCTTGAATCACTTGATTGAATTTACAGTAAACACAGCAAGTCTGCTTCTTTGCTATTCCTTCCTTCCTTTATTTATTCTCTAAATTTCATATCGCATTACACTGATCCATTTGGTTTATCAAATGAAACAATGTCCATATGCATGAGATATTATAATGATGATCTGATTGTGGCATATATATTTGACAGTTAAATTTTGCTGTTTTCTTGTCTGTGCTGTCAATTCTTATGGGAAAAAAAGTAATTTAAAAATATTTCTTTAGAAATATGATATTAAACTCCAAAAGAAAACACTTTTTAGAAATATTAAAGATCAAGGCCTGAAACTTTAGTTTCTGTTTCAAGTTTTGGCTCTTCATAGCTCCTCATGATATTTTCAGAAATTTAAAATATTAAATGAAATGAGTAGAACTAGTTCTGTAGGAAACCTAAGTAGTTAATATAGAGTAAAAATATAATCTTATAGATTTTTATTGAATTTTTACATGTACTTAATATTTGTTCTTTCTCTAAAATATTTGATGGGCCTGCAGGCTGAGCCTAAAAATTCATTCAGAAAAGCAGAATAGCAGACTTGATAATTTTGAGAATATAGTTGTAGACATGACTGGAAAGATAAAATTAAAAAAAATAAAAGACCCTTCCTAAATGGCATCAATTATCATTGGGAACTGACTTACATGGAGAAATAGTGGTAGCAGAGACTTCATAGTCTTTGTAGTTATGGGGGAGCATCCTACTGAGGGGATCAGGGTCTAAATATGCTTCACTGACTTAAAACCACTCTCTATTCTCTTTTGAAAAGCTGAACATTTGTTTTGCCTTTATGTCTTCCCATTCCTCTGAAGAACGGAAGGCACATTATAAAACTCGACACTTCCCCTTGCATTTTATGAGGTAGGTAGAGTGTGTAACTTCTTTAAAACTTTATTTAAACACCAAAGTTATTTGTAGTTTTATATATTTCCATATGTCTTACTGTTGACCTGGAGACGAAATTTTGCTGTTATCATATCTGATCTTTATTGCTAGGTAGATTTAGATAATTTGGCTAGTATAGTTTTGTAGTATGGATCTTTTCCATGAAGCTCCTTGATATTAACTTGATTCTTGCTGAACATTTCTGTTAATCAAGGTAGTGGGTAGGCTTCCAATTTCCAAGTAATCCAAGTTCCTAATTATCTGTGGGAGAACTTCTTGAGTGCTGAATTGAAAACAAGGTACCACAGGAAGGTAGAAACTAAACTTTTTGGTAATCTGACCAGGAATTACTCATGTGAAATCTTTTAATTGAACTCTTTGTTGAACTCATAGATTGGGGTTCTTTAAACATATGTTTTTGTAAATAAATGTAATGGAAATCAAAGCATAACTGGCCATGTTTATTTGAGTTTGAAAATGCTTTATTTTCAGGCAGTAAAATGCTTTTTTCTTATCTGTTTCTCTTAGATTACAGCAAAATGGATATACCAAATCCCCCAACTTCCAAATGTATTACTTATTGGAAAAGAAAAGTTAAATCTGAATACATGCGACTTCGACAACTTAAACGGCTTCAGGCAAATATGGGTGCAAAGGTAAAAAAAAAAATTCCTAAGTGAAAGGTTTTATATTTTAATATATTGATCCAGTGTGGAGTTGTTGATTTTTTTTTAACTCTTCCCTTGAAATCCTAACAAGTTTTTTCTTGACTTTGCTAGGCTCTGTATGTAGCAAATTTTGCAAAGGTTCAAGAAAAAACCCAGATCCTCAATGAAGAATGGAAGAAACTTCGCGTTCAACCTGTCCAGTTGATGAAGCCTGTGAGTGGGCATCCTTTTCTCAAAAAGGTACTTCTGGGTGTCGAAACTCAGCCTTCCTCTCTTCCTTGGACTTGTATTTGTGATTAGAAAATAAGTAAAGATAATGGATACAGCTATTATAGTCAACTTTGAATAACTAAGATGGTAAATCTGCAGCTGAAAGAACCTGTTCTCCTCAGTTAATGAACATAATCATGAGTGTTTCATAGAAAAACAAGACATTTACTGTCTGCTTTCCTGAACTCTGGTTCAGGCTTCAAGCAACCTTTTTCTTTTTTTCTTTTTTCTTTTTTTTTTTTTTTGTGCCTTTGGCACGTCAGGTACTTTAATATTATTGGAAAAGGAATGCCCTGGATCATGGACAGGAGTATATTGATCAAACGGATATCCCTTATTATAAATTTACAAATCATTTTGGTTTCTTCAAGAGATAATGTTTTTAAGATATAAAAAGCAGGTAGTATATTGAGAGTAATTTTATTTCCCATAGCAAAATATGACTATAACTTCTTTTGCTTCCCCCTCTACTGTCCCTATCACCTATGAAGCTATGTCAATGTTAAAGTTTAGGCTTCAGGAAAACTTCCTCGTCCTCCTCATCTCTCAGGACTTTCAGAGGCCCTTTGCTGTTGTGTACAGGCTAACGAGACCAACAGTTTTTAGACTGAAATAAACATCAAGTATGAGATTTGAAATAAATATCATTGAGTGTGAGAGGCACTGTACTGGACTCCTGGAGGATACAAAGGTGAATAAGAGATAGTTCCTGCTTTCCACAGGTTTACGATGCAGTGGTTCCTTTTAGGAGCTGACTGTTACAAAACCCTCAGCTTATTAATTTGGAAGAATTAGAAGAATTAGAAGGCTACTGGGATCATTTGGAAGGAAACTATAATTCTCTCTTAGGTTGTGTGCTTCCATTTCCCTCTCCATGTTGTTGCTTATATTTCAGTGTACCATAGAGAGCATTTTCCCAGGATTTGCAAGCCAGCATATGTTAATGAGATCTCTGAACACAGTTGCGTTGGTTCCCATCATGTATTCCTGGTCCCCTCTTCAGCAGAACTTTATGGTATGTATTGAAAGCTCTGTGGTGATTGTTTAAACTGTATAATTTTCTTATGTTGATATGCTGGCACTCCTTTTAAGGTAAATATTGTCAGAGTATACTTAACAAAGCTTAGACGTACAGGGCAGAAGGCTTTTGTAATTAATTTGCTCTAAAAAGTATGTTGCAGGTTGTTCTAACTTGTTAGAGTTTGTGCTTTGAAGTGTACTACTTCTGAGTTGACGCTGGTTCTTTTTTGAATGAATGGGACTGGGCAAGACTCCAATTTTCCCTTACTACCTTGACCCAATTTTGTAACATTATGTGCAGTTAAATGCTGTCTAAATCAGACACTTGAGGCTTAAGCAGGTTGACAACTCCTTGCTGATGGTGCAGTCCTTTCTGAATCCCCTAAAGGCAAGATGCTCTGAAAGCAACTTAGATAAAGGAGGCACACCAGGATCCACAATCCTTTCATGTGGGCCTTTATGCTGACTCTTACTAGGGCTATTTGTGGTCCTGATAATCAGTTCTCTCTACTGTTTCTCATCTGCCTGGTGACAGAAAGCAACTCTGCTGACTGGAATAGGATATAGATTTACAGAAGGGAATCCTCTCTTAGAATAAAACTTGAATTTTACTTTGATGGTTGAGGATTTAAGAATTGACTGTAAAAAAAATAATAAAGGAAAAAAATTGAACATGTTCTGTGCTGAACCAAAAAAATCTATTAATATTGTTTATTGTCAGAAAATATTCGTAGTTCATACTGTGATTGACTTTAGGTCCCCACTGAGTGTGACTGACATGAGTTGTAATCATACTTTTTTATTATTATGGGAGATTAGTCTTAGTGTGTTTAATAGAATATCTAAAAATGTTATGATTGCCCAGTTTTCTAAATATTGTGATTATGTAACATATACTCTTGGAAGCCTTCCTTTTCATTTATCTGTCTCTACTTATGAGAAGAATTAGAATTGAAGACCTTTTAGACTGTTTTTAGGTGATATTTGTACCTATTTCACAAAGATGTTTAGTGGAAAAAAATGAGATAATAGAATCACTGTGAAAGATAAATGTGCTGTCAAATTTTAGGTATTAGTGAAAATATAATTTTTAGTATCGTGCTAAACATTTGGTAGTTAATATTCTCAAGTACTTAAACTGACTTTTTTTTCCCCAAAAGGTAGCATTGCCTCCTTCCATTTGAGGTTTTGTTGGCAAAACAAAATGGCCAGTCTTTAAAATGCAAGAAACTCTGTGACCAAAGTCATTTTCAGGAGATTCAAGTAGCAAAAATCACCCACAAAATTTTCAGTAAACAGAAGAGAAGAGACACATAGTGGATTTGTGGAATGAATCACATCTGGTTTGATTTCAGGTAGAAGATGAGACAGTTTTGTGCAACATTCCGTACATGGGAGATGAGGTGAAAGAAGAAGATGAGACATTCATTGAGGAGCTGATCAATAACTACGATGGGAAGGTCCACGGTGAAGAAGGTAGTGGTGCCGAGCTCTTTGGGAGAAAACTGTTTGAACAGTGCCTCTTCTTTGGTGTATCATCATCTTCCTTTTATCTGCTGCCTCATGATATACAGTACACTGAAGAATATTTCAGTCTCATCACATGGCTGGGAGTAGAAATATTATATTAAAAATATTCCAGTTAAATTTTAAAAGGAATTAGGACATAAAAAGATGATATAGTAATTGGTGGCTGGAGAGAAAGTTTAGTTTATAATTTTGATCTTAAAGTTTTCCATAAATCCAGCCAAGGCCATTTGTCCTTCATTTTCCTTTCTCTGAGAATGGCAATGAGCATAACCTCTCTGTCTTCGTTGATCCAAATATCTCCTGGGTCTCTCAGAAGTTGTCTAAGTTATAATGTCCTGACTTTGCTAAAAGCAAGTCATTCGGATTTAGTTGTAGTTCTGGAAAAGGCTGTCAATGTGTTAAGAGGTGGAAAGATGGGGAGAGATTCCTCCTCAATTTGCATACCAATAGCCTTACCTGCTCTTTTGACAGTTATGGGTGCTGTTGTGATGCTGTTGAAATGCATTTATCCACAACGCCCCCTAGTGTTCAAAGACTTTCTTGTAAGGTGTAGTATATAATAGTGTGATGTTAGAAAAAGAGCTGTCTTTTGAAAAGTGCTGTTTTTTGATTGAAAGAAGTCACTATTGACCCATCAGCAGCAAAACCAGGTACCTTTTCACTTTATCATTCTTTTTCTGTCCCATTCGTATTGTTTCTACATTTTTTTGTGAGATTTTGAACCATAAGTACAGATTGACTTGTGACTGAGTAAGTGAAGTACCCCAGTAGGAATAAAGTCTGTAACTCGATTTTCTACTCTAGCCAGCTGAACCGTTGCAGTTGTAAGAGCTGATCAATGGTTGTAATTCCCTGGTTGTCCATATAAAAGTGTACCTATGTTATCTATCTGGGCCTCGGGAATGAATACAAGAAAAACTTCCTAGGAGGACTAATGGAGTATGAAACAACCACTGCTCACCCATCTAATCCTTATGTTTCAGAGATGATCCCTGGATCTGTCCTGATTAGTGATGCTGTTTTCCTGGAGTTGGTAGATGCCCTGAATCAATACTCAGATGAGGAAGAAGAAGGACACAATGACACCTCAGATGGAAAGCAAGATGACAGCAAAGAAGATCTGCCAGTAACAAGGAAGAGAAAACGACATGCTATTGAAAGTAAATAGCACTACTTCTTTATTCCATTTTGAAAGTAACAGGAGGAAGGAAGAAGGAAAAAACAGAAAGGTTTATTGCTTATTAAAGGCTGTTGATGCTTGTCATTGGTCCACTAAAAAGAAAAAATGGTCATTGATAATAGCTTAAGATAGATGTGACCTAGCTGAAGAAGAAAATAGAAGAACTTAGAGAATAATCATTGTTCACTTCTAATTATAAGAGTGGTATGTTTGGAAAACACGGAAAGTTATAAAGAAGACAATAAAATTACCGTATAATCCTTCTACCTTGGAATAACCAGCATTCATATTTCCTTCAAGACCTAAAAAATGTGTATATACCTAAAACTAATACAATGTTATGTGACAATTATATCTCAATTTTTAAAAAGCACATATATAAATCAACCTGTTTATATATGTTATTTGAAATTGGGATCATGCTCTCTGTGTGTGTATACACATATATAATTTTATATTTCTTTTTATTTAATCATGAGCATTTTCCATGTTGTTAATAATTAATTTAATTTTTAATTTTGCTCTGTTATTTAATTATACTGTATGTCCAGGTACATAGTGTCTCTCTCATTATAATTAAGTTATTCTTCAGCATCAACATTATGATAGAATTCTTCTATATTCAGGTCTCTGTGAAAACTCTGGTTTTCTCCTCCAGATTCTATCTTGTAATGTGGATTTTGTGTTAATATGTAGATGGCTCCAATTTCCTTATTTACTGGTAGCCTATTAGATAAGTCCAGGTAACCCTGACCTTCTTTATATGTTCCTAAACAGTCAATGGTTAGGTTAACAAAGCAGCTCTAATTGAAATGCTATGACAAAAGGAAAATGACCAAACAGCTTTGTTTACATACTCTGATTATAGATAGCACTCAGGAACTTTTTGTCTTTTTAAATTCAGGCAACAAAAAGAGTTCCAAGAAACAGTTCCCAAACGACATGATCTTCAGCGCAATTGCCTCAATGTTCCCTGAGAATGGTGTCCCAGATGACATGAAGGAGAGGTAAGGAAAGCTCTCTCCCTCAGGCCATGTAGTATACCCTGGCAAAATTTTTATTCAAGCCTATAATTGATTAATATAAAGCTTTGTTTATGGTAAATGCATTATGATTTGCCCTTGCATCCGATTATTTCTTGCTTACTTGCTTACCTCCAAAGGCCCATTCCTATATTAAGGGTCATTGTTTGCTGGCTTTTGAGTAAGTCTGGGCAGAGAACTTTTAAAATTCTCCCATATTTCTGGAGAGTTACTGCAGCACCATACTTATCAAATCTTTCCCTCCCCTTACTTTCAGATATATGCCCAGCCCAGCATAATTACAGTGGTCTACCCACTTAGATATACGTCATTCCATCATCAACAAGACCCATAAAAATACCCACCCTCCCTTAGCAGAATATACCTGGATGACTCTCAGTGCTCAATCTATATTTTTTCAGTAGAGGCATTTCCCTAGGAGGAACTCATCTCTTTTCTTAAATAGGTATCGAGAGCTGACAGAAATGTCAGACCCCAATGCACTTCCCCCTCAGTGCACACCCAACATCGATGGCCCCAATGCCAAGTCTGTGCAGCGGGAGCAGTCTCTGCACTCCTTCCACACACTTTTTTGCCGGCGCTGCTTTAAATACGACTGCTTTCTTCACCGTGAGTAGGGCTACTCTGATATGCTCTCCGGTTTTCCATTCCCAGCCACCATTTCCTTCTTTTTATTTTAGTTTATCAGGTAGAGAGTTCCTGGCTTCTGATCTGTTGATAGTTTTACAAAGGGCCGGTTCAGTTATAGTGCAGTGTGCTTTGCATGGTCAGGACAGAATAACCAGCAACATAATTGTTCCTGAATACCTTCTAGCTTTGAAAGTATTGTGTTGATAATCAGAAATGATTAAATTTTGTGCACATGTTTATAGTTGTAGTCTACACTAGCTCCCTAATTCAGTTTTGTTCCTCCCCATCCCGTCAAGTGGATGAACCATTGGAAACAAGACAGTGTTGTATTTTCCAGCTTTTCATGCCACCCCTAATGTATATAAACGCAAGAACAAAGAAATCAAGATTGAACCAGAACCATGTGGCACAGACTGCTTCCTTTTGCTGGTATGTTCTTAAGCTGTTCTGCCATTGTTAACTTTGTTGAACACTGAGCTGAGCAGGAAATGGTCCTTGGGCTTTCTGCCCCTGAGAACACAAACTAAGTGAGACAGTACATAGCATAGCACTCCGGGGGTCATAAAGTGCAAATAAAACATGACTTCTGTTCTTAAGGAGCTTCCAGATACTGGGGCAGGAGGACTGTGAAGTTAGTCTTATGGAGTGAGGTTTGAAGAGCACTGAAATTTTCCTACTCTAAATATCATCTGCTCAGATTTCAGAGCCTGAAACCTTATTGTTTGAATTGGAGCTGTGTGTGTGTATAACTTACAGAAATATATATGTACAGGTTTTCTTTTATTGCTTTTTATAAATGAATACATATTCAAATATAATGCTGGACTATTCCCCTCCTCAACTTTTTATTAAGATAATTTTTAGTCATGCAAATAAATTGAAAGATACTTTCCTCGATTTAATAACATTTTTTCATGTTTGCTTTATTCTTATATTTATGTGTATGGATCTTTTGCTAAGCTATTTGAAAAGAAATTGCAGATATTGTGATGCTTCTTTGCTGTTTCAACATGCATCTCCTAATATATACGTTCTCTTATATAACCACATTATTACAGCTAAGATGTTTCCAGTGGTACCAAAAATAGCAGTTTTTTTTCCCAAACCAAGATCACACAGTCATGCATTATATCTGGTTATTATGTCTTTTCAGTTTCTTTTAATCTTGAATAATCACAGTATTTTTTTTTTCTTTCTGAAAAGTTCAGGCTGGTTGTCTTATAGGATGTCCCACATTCTGGATTTGTCTGTTGTTTTCTCCTGGTGTCATTTAATGTATTACTCTATCCTTTATTTCCCATAAGCTAGAATTAGCTCTGGAGGCTTAATTATATTTATGTTAAATGTTTCAAGTAAGAATACATTGTAAGTAATGCTGTGTGTGTCACACTGTAGCATAAGCATATAATATCAGATTCAATTAATTTTAAAACTTTTTTGGAATTTCCTTTATCCTTAGTAATGGTCAACCTTTATCCTTTACATGTAGATTTAGTTTTCAGAAACAGCTAGAAGTCTTTGGGAACCAAGTCTGCTAAGAAGGTAGATGATCAAGTTGAATGATCGTTATTTGGTCTTAAAAAAAAAGCATACCTATGAAGTAATAAAACAATATTCTTCCAAGTTTAATATACTGATTTGTAGAGAAGTTTCAGAATTAAGTAGTAATATGATACGAATTCAAGGATGACACATTTTATTACTGAAACAGCAGCGCAGTAGATTGTAAAGAGCAGTGTGGCTGGAGGCGAGGAGCCCTGATTCTTGTACCCACTCTGGAACAATTAGGTATACACTCTCAAGCAGGTCCCTTCCCCTCTCGGAACCTCATTTCCTCGTCTGCAGGAGAATGTGTTCTCAAATTCCCGACAGCTAATATGTGAATGAATTTTAGATGCAATTCACTGGAAAGCTGAAGATGCATAGATTATATCGTTTTAAAGATTACTTTGTAAGATAGCTCTTTTGTGAGTTTGTAAGTTTTAGAATGTTATTAAGCAGCTTCCTTACGGTCACACTTATATGGTATAGAGCAAAAAAAAAAATAAAAAAAGATAGTATCATTGTACATAATCACAGATATTGAAGAAGATGGTTTGTGATGATGGGCTCAACATGGTGATTCTGGGCCTGTTTCTGTTTTCTACCTGTAACGTGTCCATTGCAGGAAGGAGCAAAGGAGTACGCCATGCTACACAACCCTCGCTCCAAGTGCTCTGGTCGTCGCCGGCGAAGGCACCACATGGTCAGTGCTTCCTGCTCCAACACTTCAGCCTCTGCCGTGGCTGAGACTAAAGAAGGGGACAGCGACAGGGACACAGGCAATGACTGGGCCTCCAGTTCTTCAGGTACAATGAACAGAAAATGATCTTTTCTTTCTACACAAGGACACTGGTAAACCCAGGATCACTGCCTGACACTTAATGTTACTGCATTTTGTAAAATTGTTAATTTTTTACACAAGTTCATCTATAAGTGGTGGAGACAGAATATTTTTGTTCCTAACTATGCTGCCTTTTTAAAGTAGAATGAAATACTTCTGAGTTTGTGGCCAACTGCTCATGACAACTACATTCCACCTTGTGTTTCTTGTATTTCTCCCTCTCTTAGAGGCTAACTCTCGCTGTCAGACCCCCACAAAACAGAAGGCGAGTCCGGCCCCACCTCAGCTCTGTGTAGTGGAAGCACCTTCAGAGCCTGTGGAATGGACTGGGGCTGAAGAATCTCTTTTTCGAGTCTTTCATGGCACCTACTTCAACAACTTCTGTTCAATAGCGAGGCTTCTGGGAACTAAGACATGCAAGCAGGTACTGTCTGAAAGCAGCAAGAACAAGGCTGGGCCCTCCTTTCCCGCAGTGCTCTTTCAGCCTTTTTGCTGTCTCGTAAGCCTCCCCGTCTGGAGAGAAGCTGTCTCAGGCTCAATTCCCCATGAGCCTGTACTTCTAGGTCATGAAGTGGGTTCCCCAAACACAGGGCCCCCTGTAAAGGCCAAGTCTGTCAGTGCCTGGGGACCTGCTCTCCTCCCTGCTGAATTCTTATCTCTGTTTCTAGCCACTATCTAATTTTTGGCTGTTTCTACACTCTTTTAGCTTCTTTTTTTGGTTCCTGCCTTTTATTCTAAATGTGTATTTGTTTCCTAGAAGAGACTCCTGGGTCTTTCTGGGGATCTTCTTCCCTAGCAGACTCCTATTCCTGCTTCTCAGCTGTAGCTACTGCTCCCTCCATCAGTCTCCTTACTGCTTTATCCTCCAAATGTTCTAACACTAGATATTCTAAGCACCACCCCTAATAGCTGGGCCTGGATCTCACCCTTCTCACTCATACTGTCCCTAGAATCACAGTTTGATAGTAGCCATCAATGCTCTGGAGGCAGGGAAAGGCTGCAGTGAGAAGACACTGAAGAACAGGGACAGAAGGTCAGGCGTTAGGGCCAATCTGTCCAATAAGAGAGGAACACTTGTTCACTGTGGCCTCTTCATGCTTCCTTTACTTAGAACAAGCAGTAGAACCGTGAGCCGAAGTGCCCTTTGCTTTCGTTGTGGAGCTCAGGCCTGTTTCCCTGAGGCACAGCTTCTTAACCTAAAGATCTATCGAACTGGGTACAAAACAGTTTTTATGTGCGTTCTCCTGAGAAGATTTATACTTTTCCTAGAACCTCGAGAAGGCCTATAATTTTTTTTTCGAGAGTCAAAAGGAAAGTTTATTAGAAAAAGGGTGACACTCCACAGACAGAGTGTGGTCTCCTCTCAGAGGCAGAGAATGAGAGGGACCAAGAAGGCCTATAATTAAAAAGGAAAAGAAAGAGCTAAAGACGAATGCTATAAGGGAAGAAGCACAATGAAAGGGAACCCACCTTCCTGAAATAACATCCTAGTCAAGGCTCTCACATGTTTATACCAGCAGAGGGAGCTAGTGCTTTGCCAGGTGGTATCATTAATGTCAGGTCTTGCACTCAGCTGCACAGAGTGCACAAAGTTGCCCTTCCTAAGAAGAGACAGATACTGTTGGTAAGAATCGGCTGGGGAGGGCTTGGTAAGCAGAGCAGTAGATGAAAGCTGCTAACCATGAAGGCTATAAATGTGCTCAGTATTTTTCCTTTCCTAAGTCAGGATAAATACTTAAGAATTAACTCAGTCTTTGCCGTTCTGTTTCTACCTGACTGAAGAGATGCTCAGTCAGATAGCTACTTGTGAGCTCTCCATAATCCCCCCAAGCCCAGCACCTGGCTGGATCACTTATATGACTGCCTAGGTCAAGAAGGCCCTCTTGGATTTCTCTTCCAGGTTTTTCAGTTTGCAGTCAAAGAATCACTTATCCTGAAGCTGCCAACAGATGAGCTCATGAACCCCTCGCAGAAGAAGAAAAGAAAGCACAGGCAAGGATCGGACAATGGACTTTCTATGGCCAGGCTGTTCCCTGTGCTCTGACCTCCCCTTGGACTTCCCATCTGCCTCCCTCTTTAGCCCCTGCCCATCTGTTTGGCTTGGCACACTGAAGGCCACCCATCTCAGGGCTCCCTGCAGGTCTATGCCATGGATCAGCCAGCCCTTCTCCTGACCCTGCATGCTGTAGATCACGAGATAACTATCTGATTTTCCATTTATGCTCCTGGCCAGTAGAATGTGAGCTGGCCTCATGGCTCCACCCAGAAGCCATGTTCCTCGTTAGGTGATTAGTTAGCCACTTCTGCAAGCTCTGTACCTACTTCTCAATCCTGACAAGATTGGTTTGGTTTGGTTCGTTTTTTGGCACTTGTGTTGTTTTTCTAAGCTGCATAATAATGTTGTTTTCTAGCTAGCCTTTGCTTAGGGTTGGAAGTTTCTTTAAAAAAAATTTTGACACTTTGCATTGCTTGGTACCCTAATGACTGTCATCTATTGAAGGAATTGACACTGGTTCTAGAAATAGAAGGAAGTCCCTGTGTCTGCTCCCTTTCAGTTCCTTCATTTAGGTCATATTCCCGAAAAGGCTTCTCATCTCCCCATCTTGAAACTCCCCCATATCTTTATGTCCCACAGGCTGAGGACAAGTGAGAAGGAGAACCAATAACATAATAATAGACATAGAGGGTTGGATTTGGTTTTGTGTCTGTTTTTTTTTTACATATGTTTGTTTGTTAAGGGTGATGTTTATGTTTAAATCTTGAGGCATAGGCCAGCTGAATAGGATTTGGGATGGACTCTAGCTTCTGTGTACCAGAGTAGAGGTCTCCTGTGAAGGAATTTGGGGAGGAGACTCCCCAGTTATCAAACCGCAATCCCTCAGACCAGGTCACATTGTCCTTTACCTGAATGTCTGCAGTTCCCCAGGGCTATGATCCAGACCTATCCCATCTCTTTTTCAGGTTGTGGGCTGCACACTGCAGGAAAATTCAGCTGAAGAAAGGTAAGTTCCACCAGGACGTTCTTCGGCAGTTCATCTTGAGGTCTCGCCCTGTGGCCATCCCCCACCCTACCTGCAGCTGCATTTGCTGACCCTGCACCGCTTCCGCAGGTTGCACATTTCTCAGCAGCTGTTGAGAACAGCTCAGCTTCTCACTGCAGCTGCGAAGAACTGTTATGGGCCTCATGGTCTCTGACTTTCATGGTGTGCCATTTGCCAGGTCTTAGACTTCATTTAATGTTTGGAATAGCTGCATTATAGTCCTGGATCATTTCCACACTCTCCCCACAAAGCAAATCACCCAACTATCATCTAGGATTGCCTCTCACTTCAGGTACTAAATGTGTGTCCAAGGTTATAGTTTGAACAAGCCTCCTTTGAATCAGAGCCATTGGACACTTGGGAGGGAGGACAGCTAGGAAGCATGGGTACAACAGTGTCTTGGTTTATTCTTTTCTCTCCTAGATAACTCTTCCACTCAAGTGTACAACTACCAGCCCTGCGACCACCCAGACCGCCCCTGTGACAGCACCTGCCCTTGTATCATGACTCAGAATTTCTGTGAGAAGTTCTGTCAGTGCAACCCAGACTGTAAGAGTTCTCCGTTTTCCCCTGTAGTCTACCAAAACAGTCAGCCTAGATGTACCCCAGATTTCCCTCCGCCACCTCCCCGTACCTTTTGCTGCTTATGGGCATTCTGATATTCTCTTTGCTATGTTTTAAGCATTCTACAGAGGAGACAAGAGACTTAAGATATGGAAAAGTCATTTTTTAAAAACCTTTACATGTGTGATTGTAATAGCAACAATTATACAAAAATCAGATGCTTTCTCAACTTTACCTTCCAGGCCAGAATTAAGAATCTTTTTCCTTATAGTGCAGTCATAGCCTCCCTTTCCAGAATGTTGTTTTACAATATATACAGGTTACAATTCTGTATATGTCTATTTTAGTTGAACATCTGGAGTTTTAATATCAGGTCGGTCTGGATGTTAGCAGAAAGTACGATAGAAGCTAAAAGTGCTTCTCTTTCATTTCTTATCTCACCATTTCTTATCTCTCCTCAAGGCAGTTTGATGGCAGCCCCCAGAGCTTGCAGAATTTGATGCCCAGGCAGTTACGCTAGAAATACCTCCTAACTCATAGCAGATATCAATCTTAACCACAGCAAAGGGGTGCTTGTGCTGCCGAGGGTGGTGGGTGGAAGAGAGTAACATAGAACGGATGTATTCTGTTCTCAAAATGATTCTTGTTTTGATGTCATGTACTTATCAGTGGAAAACACTGATTTCTTTCTTTGGGGCATTATCCACCTCCCTTCCAAATTCTACCAGCAAGGGGGAGGGAGAACATCTCCATAGTCAAACTTGCATTTTTAACTCTCAGGCATGAATATTGGGAGGAACTTCATGTTTGTTGAAAACATTTGAGTATATCATTATGCGGAGGGGAACTTCTCTCCTATTTTGCCAAATATCCTTGAATACATAATTTCCCTGCTGTCCTTGAGTCAAACCTGAGCCCCAGCATTAGTCTGCTTCTCTTCCTAACCTTACTTGTCATCCCACCCAGGTCAGAATCGTTTCCCTGGCTGTCGCTGTAAGACCCAGTGCAATACCAAGCAGTGTCCTTGCTATCTGGCTGTGCGAGAGTGCGACCCTGACCTGTGTCTCACCTGTGGGGCCTCAGAGCATTGGGACTGCAAAGTGGTTTCCTGTAAAAACTGTAGCATCCAGCGTGGCCTCAAGAAGGTGAGGGCTTTTCTTAGGATTCCAGGCCAGATGATGGAGTAGAAAAGACTGACTAGTCCTGAGCAGCCTCATTCTACTAGTTCTTGACAGGGTTTGTACATGAAAGTGCTTGGTAAATCCAGAAGACACGTTTACTGAATTAATAGTTTTCTGTCCCAGTGAGGAATTGCAAAAGTGATCCCTTGAAAGGGGCCAGACTGAAAGGAGCAGAGAGGATGGACACGTCATTGATGTCTATTTTTACTTGACATGTAGCAGAGAATTCCCATAGACTCAGGCCCAGGAGGTCCCCAGGTCTAGAGGAAGAGGCGTCATGCTTCCTCTCACCACCTCCCTCTTTTGTTTTTCCTCCCACCAGAACATAATGGCTTAGACCTTTTTCTGTTTTCAGATCCTCTTCACAGTTGCTAGTTCTTTCTACCCTGCCCCCCACCGTACACGTCCACATTCAGCACACATAGCCCCTTACTCACACACACCCTGAGTCTGAGCTTTGCCTCCCTCTTCTCCAGCACCTGCTGCTGGCCCCCTCAGATGTGGCCGGATGGGGCACCTTCATTAAGGAGTCTGTGCAGAAGAACGAGTTCATTTCTGAATACTGTGGTGAGGTGAGTGCTATCGGTTTGGCCCACAATCTTATCTGGGGAGATACTGATGAGAAACCCTGATTTTCTGTGGTCCAGACTTCTGCTAATTAATCTCTAAATAACTCAGCTGAGTTCTCATGTGGCCTCTTGGGGGATCCCACAGAACTATTTGCAATCCTGAAACAAACCACTCTTCGACTCTTTGGGAGCTCAAGCCACACGAGCAGGGCAGGTGGGGGACTCTTCAGCCTTAATACTGGCCAGCCTCAGTGGGGGTTGGAATGAAATAAGCCAGCCTCTGTCTCTAATGATTTTCATGATACCCTGTAAGCACCTACGTGTGACACTGCCCCCTCCCAGTCCTTCCTAGGGTCAGGGTATCATGTCCTGAGCAGACAGCCTAACTCCCCCGCTTGTTCCATGTCTGTCTTTGCAGCTCATCTCTCAGGATGAGGCAGATCGACGAGGGAAGGTCTATGACAAATACATGTCCAGCTTCCTCTTCAACCTCAACAACGGTACGGAGTCTTTCTCATCCCACGGTGGTCTCGGCAGGTCTTCCTACGAGATTTCCCTAGCTATGGTCCAGGTTCAGATCAGCTCTGAATCTTCCAACAGATGCAGAGAGCAAGGTGGAGAGGTTGAACTCAGAGACACTGTTGAGCCACAGTTCACTTGCTTTGGGAGAGCCTCTATTTTCTAGATTGTGTTTGTAATCAGAGCATTGAGCACTTACACCTCAGACATCTCCCTACCAAGTAGATGAGAAGAGGAAATCCATAATTCCAGCAAAAAAGGGAAACCCAAGGAGAGTGCTCCCACATGAGTTTGCATTCTTACGCAGCCTGCTTTCCCAGCTCCTGTTAGTATGCTGGGCTTAAACATTCTCATTGGACTGTCATGTTTCCGTCACTGTTTGATTTATTTTAAATTCAGCTCAAGAAGCTGTGGGGTTGCCTGGTGAGCTCATAGTCTTCCTTGGTTTACTTTATACAGATTTTGTAGTGGATGCTACCCGGAAAGGAAACAAAATTCGATTTGCAAACCATTCAGTGAACCCCAACTGTTATGCCAAAGGTGAGTTCCCGGGGACCTGGGAGGTGGAGTGGGGGATGGATGCTTTGTTGATTATGATCTTTATCCATTATTAAACTTTTTTTTTTATAGCTGAGTTATTTTTTTGTCCAAAGATAATCACGATTAATGTCTGGTATTACTCTGAGCCTCTCTCTCTCTCAGTTTTATAATCTGCTTTTTTCTCTGAATACATTATAAACATTTTCTCACAAATATGAGTTTTTTAAGGATAATTCTTTCCCCGTGTCACTAGCCAGAAAAACAGATCTAAACACATAGAAGCAACTACCTTCACTGACTACTTTCTAATTCCACTTCATTTATGTTTTCACTGGGAGTTTGGAAACAGTCGGCCCAGAATCACTACTGATTGTTGACTTGGGGTTGACTAGGAGCCTAACCTGGAGTTTATCTTCTTTTTAGTGGTCATGGTGAACGGAGATCATCGGATTGGGATCTTTGCCAAGAGGGCAATTCAAGCTGGCGAAGAGCTCTTCTTTGATTACAGGTGAGG